CAACAGACAAGAGACAGGTCTACAACAGACAAGAGACAGGTCTACAAGAGACAAGAGACAGGTCTACAACAGACAAAGACCCCTGTAAAATAAATCTGCAACTACTGATGACATGCTGCTTTGTGAAGCCATTTTGTGGTAGAACATCTTAATAACTCCCCTCATGACTTCAAATCAAATACCACAGGGACACCTGAAACTAATCTGTCTTGCTCTGTCCTGTCTTGCTGAAGGGATTGCACTGTATATCCCCTCTGACCTGGACCGTAGGATCCTCCAGGAGGAGCTAGAGAGAAGGATTTCTGGGTTTCCCTCCACAACCTGTTTTATCCACGATCCAACCTCAGAAAAAAAAACAACTGATGGATGGATCATGGGACACTGAAGTAGGGGTGACTAGGAAATGAAAGAAACAACTTCACAAACCTATATCTTACCTTTCTATTTTCCTTTGGTACTCGACCTTCTGCTGGGCCATTTGCTGCCGCATTTTCACCACCGCTGAATGGTTGTTTCGAGTTTCAGAGTTAAGCTCTGGTCCTTTGAGATCTGGAGGACCAGAGGGGAGGAAGACCTCTGAACTTCCTGTACTTAGAGGGCTGACACTGAGCACGGAACAGGAAGCCCAGGAGTTTGGGTGTTGTATGTTGTAGTCATGATTGTCTTCACGTTTATTTTTATCAACATGTTCTTGTTCTACTTCCTGTCTTGAAGGCAACCTTTCTGGTGTCTTTGTTGGGTTCTCAAGATTATCTGCCCCCACATCATCACCCCCCTCGTCCAGTGGTAGAACCTCACAGGAAGACCATGACGATGACGATTCTCCTGCCTGCTCTGCCTCTGAGTCACAGGTTTCATTGTGACTTCTTGCAGAGTTAGAGTCAAACTTTCCAACAGGAACATCCTTCACTGTCTGACACAGAGATGCCTGATCCAGGTTGTCGTAAGGAGAAGGTGTGCCGTCCTCCTGTGGCTCACTGCTACCTCCACTGGCAGTTTCTGTCACCAAACCAGCTTTTCCTGCACCTCTACAGCTCCAGAACGCTGTCTTTTCTGGGTTTGGCCATGCTTTGGCTCCTCCCGTCAGCATCACAGTTTTGAGACTGTCCTGTAGCTGAAGGTTGGCTGCAGAAGCATTTGGAGGAGTTGATCCATGGTAATAGTCTCCACCGGGTCTGTCTGTGTGGGGCTGAATGGAGTCATTTGAGGAGCAAAGGCGGTAGAAGCAGTTCCCAGGGTGGGAGGAGGTGTAGCGATGACCGAGCTGCCTCTTCTGGCCAGAGGACAAGTCTGATGGTCCAGCAGCGGAAACACTGCTGAAGAAAGCAAAGTAAGATTTTTGAAACTCAATTTAACAGCAACAGTAAAATGAATGATTTAAAGCCCAAATTGAACATTTTAAGTGTTAATGCCTAAAGTTAACAAACTGTTTTGTAAATCAAATCAAACTAATTCTTGAGTACCAAACCAATCGCTCATCAGTTGACTGGCCGTTGTTAGACTTGTCAAAGTATTTTACCTGAGGACATCTGCATGTGCTGCTGGTTCTGGCTCGGATGAGTGGTCCGCGATCAGAGGCAAAGACAGCTGGCGAAGGCAGGTCGATGGCTGAAGGTGAGCCTTCTTCAGGGGGGATGCATTCAAACTTCTAGATGGATGAGCGTAGATCGGTGGAGGGGCTTTGGCAAAAAGAGACTCGTGTTCCCTGATCAGTTCTAACATCAGAACCTGGACCAGAGCTGCACCTGGGACACAGACAGGAAGAGAAATACGCTTTACCCGTTTTGTTTTGCAAAACCCATTTTCCAAGTGATCAAGAAATTTCCTTTGGTTTGTTTGAACTTTTATTGAAAAGACCCAAGTACACGTTAGAGTTGGTTCTGAGAACTCCCTGCAAGAGAAGCACAGTTACAAACCTTCAGCCACTGAACATCTTCAGTGCAGAATAATGTGCAAATCTTCAAAGAGTTTCTGAAACCTTCACTGTATAAAAGATACCAACAGCCTTGATGCTTGTGTGGAGCGCTCGGGCAGCACTGCATTAGAAACCTTCACACGGCTGTGGTCAATACCGCCACATGAAGACACGAGAACCTTGGAAAGCTAACATGCATCATCCAAAACCATCTTCATCTGAAGTCATGTTGGAGTTCTACAGGAAGGCTGCAGGTCTCTGGGTGTTGAAGCTCATCTCTGCTGCGTTTCAGCTGCTTTTAGAAAAAAAGTGGACATCTTATTCAACAATCCAACGGCTAATGTCAGGTGTTTCAAGTAAAGATGAAAACGTTAGCATCAATTCTGGTGTGGGGGAAATTGGTGTCCATGAACATGAGGGACTTGTTTGTCTATGTGTGAAGAAACCATTAGATGCTTCCAGACCAAACTTTCCAAAGGTTTTAAGAGCTGTTAGCTTTATTACAAGGCAGTTTAAGGCTCTAAACATGTAGGGCCTACATGTTTGCTTTTGGACTGCCAGGGGCCGCTGTGGTGGAGCAACACCAACAATCAGCGAGGCCACATTCATTTACACAGGTATCATTCAACTACACGTGATTATTACTAATCCAAACTAATGGAACACGTGTTACTTCACCACTTGCTCCCCACGAGGTCGGATGCTTCTCTCCCTCCCTCCCTCTCTGCTTTGCTTTGCTGCTCTGTCTGTTTGTGAAATTGCTGTGAGACTCTCTTGCATTTCTTCCGAACCATAATTATGGACTTGTTTTGATCAGTTGGTCCCTCAACTCAATTTACAACATTTCTTCGAAGAGAAGACAGGCTTTGGGCGAGCTGATTTGCCCTGTTGGCACGCACGCAGCTGGATATCTCATCGACTGAAAAACTTGATGATGTGTCTATCTCTGCTGCCATCTGTGGATTTTAAGGACGCATATTTAATTGGATTCACGATAACTGATTCCTGCTTTTTGGATTCAGCTGGTGGCTGGTTTTATCTACAATCAAAGAAGTCTTCAGCAGCAAATTTGGACCCGATCACGCTGCTTGCCTTTATGATGGCTTGGTTCATGTCTCGAGTACCCGGACTCAAATGCTTTGGGCTGAATGGATCAGATCTTGGGGATTTTTACTCAGTCACTTTCCATCGGTGTGGCCATGTTAATTTGGACATTTCGGAACCGAGTGGACCAACACAGACTGAAGGTTGATGTCATTACGTTCTGCCTGTCCCCAAAACAACTGTGTGTTTATCTAAATTGTAGTCGCCTTGGTTGTCCTTGAAGGACATCTTATCTAAAGTCGCCAGGAGAACATGTGATCTGATGCTCACCACCCCCTCCCTGAGGAATTTCCAACTGATAACCAGATGAAACCAGCTGAATAAACTTTGTGTCATCATTTCAGGACTCTGGATTCTTATAGAGGTTATCCTTGGCCATTTCTCGACATACCTCGAGAATGTTTATGATCTCACCGGAGGACACTGACTGATTACAGTGACCTCGAGAGCATCTATAAGCGTTGTTGACCGCTCTCGTCTCCATTTGCATAATGTCTACGTCACTATGTGCTGTTTGTGCGAGGTGTTTTTTTAATATTAGAGGTTTTTCTCAGCCAAGAAAAAAGTCTGATAGGATTTGTTTTCACCTCCAACTCCTACATGTGTCCAGTTAACCACTGTTTTTGTCTGTCCAAACAGGTCTCACTTGTAAATGAGTCTTCGAGGCTCAATGTGATTTATCTGTTTAAATAAAGGTTGAATGAATGAAAAAAAAAGCATAAAGCAAAGTAAATGACTTTTATTTAAACAACACAACAACCATAAAGGACTCTGAAGTTGGAGCTGTTGAGTGGGGGTAGTAGTAATACATACACAATGCATACTAGTACCTGGTAAGTAAAAGATACTTACACAAAATATTTTACAAAGGCTTATGTTTTTATTTAATTCATTGAACCTTTATTTATACAGAGTTAATCTCATTTAGTCACGAAGACTCATTTTCAAAAGAGACCTGTTTTAGACAACAAAAAAAACAGATGAGACACGCAACAATAAACAGTCATAAAAAGCATATAAAATGAAAAGTAAATTAAAATAGTGATATAAAACAAACTAAAATCAAATTATGAAACAGGGTAAAATTCTAAAAACAGAACGGCTGTGTTGGTTTTGGCATTGAACTTAACAATTGTTTAAAATCACTTAGAGAGGTCAAAGTGGAGAGCTTCAGATCTTTTGCAAGGTGTTACAGGAAACAGGAGCGGAGTAGGAGAAGGTCCTTTTGTCTAGTTCAGTCCTCACTGAGGGAACACTGCAGGTAATGATGTCCTGAGAGTGCACGCTGTAGCTGCACTCACACAGAGACATGTAGGAGGAGATGTATGAAGGCAACAGACCAAGAAGTGATTTAAAGGTGAAAATGTACCAGTGGGAGAGTCTGTGTGAAGTTAATGATGACCAGTTAACCAGTGAATACTGGGTGCAGTGGTGGGTACGATAATCACAGCCAGTTATGAATCTTAGTGCACCATGATAGACAGCATCCAACATCTGCAGCATCCAACATCTGCAGGGTTCTTGTAGGAGCGTTCATGTAAATAATGTCACCGTCATCAATGGAGGGAAGGAAAGTGTTTCGTAGAATTCAGAGTCAGACAGGATCTATTTCTGAAAAAGAAACCCAGTTTTAATTTCAATTTCTTTATCAAGCTTTGGACATGAGGCTCAAAAGAGATGTGCATCGACCAAGATTCCCAAATATTTGTAAGAATCAACAAACTAAGCAGGAACACCATTCATAGATAAGATAGAAGGAAGGACTGCTGGTACCAACGTCCTGTTTGAAAACAACATCCGTTTTGTTTCATGACTATTAAATGACTATTACCAGTAAAAGGTGTTTTGTCTCTCAGAAGTCCATACTGAACAGAAAAAATGCATGTTATGAAGCAGAACATAAAGGAATACTTATGTTGTTTCTTCTTCTTTTGACTTTTCCCTTTTCAGGGCTCTCCACAGCGAGTCATCCTCCTCCATCTCACTCTGTCCTCTAAGTCCTCGGTGTCCTCGTCCTCACTCCAACTACCTCCATGTCATCTCTAACTGCATCCATATGTCTCCTCTTTGTCTTTTTCCTGGCAACTGCATTTCTAACATCCTTCTATATACCCACTGTCCCTCCTCTGGACATGTCCAGACCATCTCAGTGTGTCCTCTCTAACTTTATCTCCCAGTTGTTCAACCTGTGCTGTACCTCTGATGATCTCATTCCTGATCTTCTCCATCCTTGTCACTCCTAAGAAGAACCACATCTTCATTTCTGCCACTTCCAGTTCTGTCTCCTGTCTTTTTGTTCATGTCTCTGTCTCCAGACCATACAACATAGCTGGTCTCACCACTGTCTTGTAAACTTTTCCTTTGATCTTCGCTGACACCCTTTTGTCTCAAATCACTCCTGAAACTTTTCTCCATCACTCCATCCTGCCTGGACTCTCTTCTTCACCTCTTCACCACACTCCTCATGTTCCTGGACAGTGGACCCCAAGTCCTTGAAGTCCTGCACCTTTGTGACCTCTGCTCCTTGTAACCTCACTATTCCACCTCCTCCCTCTCATTCACACACATGGACTCTGTCTTACTACGGCTGACTTTCATTCCTCTTCTTTCAAGTGCATACATCCACCTCTCCCAAGTTCTCTTCCACCTGTTCCCTGTTCTCACCACAGATCACAATGTCATCTGCAAACATCATCGTCCACGGGGATTCCTGCCTGACCTCATCTGTTAGTCGGTCCATCACCAGAGCAAACAAGCAGGGGTTCAGAGCTGATCCTTGATGAACTCCCACCTTCATCTTGAAGCTATCTGTCACTCCTACAGCACATCTCACCACTGCCCTGCTGTCCTCATACATGTCCTGCTGTCCTCATACTTGTCCTGTACCAGTCTAACATACTTCTCTGCCACTCCAGAGTTCCTCATGCAATACCACACCTCCTCCATCTGCACCCTGTCAGATGTTTTTTTTTCTAAATCCACAAAGACACAATCAGGTTCTTTCTGACCCTCTCTGTACTTCTCCATCAGCATCCTCAAAGCAAAGATGGCATCTGTGGATGAAACCATACTTCTGCTCACAAATAGTCACCTCACGTCTAAGTCTTGCTTCCACAACTCTGCCAGATCTTCGTGTGGCTCATCAACTTAATTCCCCTGTAGTTGCTACATCTCTGTACGTCTCCCTTGTTCTTAAAAATGGCCACCAGCACTTCTTCTCCATTCCTCAGACATTTTCTCCTCCTCAAATGTGCCATTGAATATTTGAGTCAAAAACCTCACTGCCATCTCTCCAAGACATTTCCAAACCTCCACTGATATGTCATCAGGTCCTACTGCCTTCCCTTTCTTCATTCTTTTCAAAGCTTTCCAGACTTCATCCTCACTAATCTTTACCACTTTCTGGTCCTCAGTTTCTATGACCTTTGCTCTTCTTTCTCTTTCATTCTCTTCATTCATCAGCTCTACAAATACTCCTTCCATCTTCCCATCAGAGGAAATATTGTTTGATGTCTGTAAATGAAATTGTTACTGCTAGTGTAAAAAAAATGGTGAAGTGAAATGGTTAAAAGGACTGTGAACTGGTCTTCTGCAGTCCAAAAGCTTCAATCCATGCAGAGGTATAGATAGGAATTTTTGAGGAACAAATGCTAGAATATGACAACAGTAATGATGAATTTTGGTTTCTCATATCACACTGTCTGATGGTTTTCTAATTATCTCTCAGGTCAAATACAATGTATTCAACGCAATCGTACTTCTATTTAACTGTAAATAATGGCGTACCACAAGGCTCAGTCTTAGGACCCACCCTCTTTACAATTTATATAAGTAATGTAGGTCAAAATATCCCTGATGCCTCCTTGCATCTCTATGCCAGCGACATAGTAGGTTATTGTCAAGGTAACACAGTTGCAAGGTTTTCCGGCTTCTACAGTCTGCATTTGTCATCATTCAGTCACTTATTCCATCTCAAATTGGTGCTATACGCTGATAAAACCAAAGGGATGTTGTTTTGAAACAAAGTTGGTGCCAATAGTCCTTCCTCCTATCTTATCCACACATTGTGCTATATCGAGTTTGTGGATTCTTACAAATACTTGGGAATTTTAATTGATACACATCTCTCTTTTAAGCCTCATGTCAAAAACTTGATTAAAAAAATACTGAAATTAAAACTGTGTTTTTTCTTCAGAAATATATCTTGATTAACTCTGAATACCAGAAAATGCCTTGTAGCTGGAACTTTCCTACCAGCTATTGATTATGGTGACATTATTTACATGAATACCCCTGCCAGCACCTTGCAGATGTTGAATGCTGTCTGCCATGTCGTGTTAAGATTCATAACTGTTTGTAACTACCGTATCCATCACTGCACCCTGTACTCCTTGGTCAGTAGGTCGTCACTATCTACACGTAGGCTCTCACACTGGTACAGCTTCATCTATAAATCTCTCCTTGGTCTGCTGCCTTCTTATATCTTTTCCCACATTTCACGCCGTCAGTGCATCTACAGCGTGCGCTCTCAGGCCTTCATTACCTGCAGCGTCCCCTCAGTGCAGACTGAACTCGGCAAAAAGGCCTTTTCTTACTCTGCTCCTGTAACCTGGAACACCTTACAAGATCTGAAGCTGTCCACCTTAATTTATTTAAGGGATTTTAAACAGTTGGTAATGTCAATAGAAAAATCAAAGCAAATATGTTTTTGTTTTAATATTTTACCTTGTTTTATATGGCACCTTAATTTTGTTGTTTTATAACACTAGTTTTTATTTTAATAGCATTTTATTGTCGTGTGTACTTTGTGTTGTCTGTATGAAACAGGTCTCTCTTGAAAATGTGTCTTTGTGACTCAGTGAGACTGACCTGTAGAAATAAAGACTGAATGAAAAAACCAGGAAAACATAAATAAAGGAAGGAAGACGTGGCTCTATGTGTGCTGAGGTCAACTTCTTCTTTTTTATCTCCATAAGAATATTTGATTGGTCAGTGAAGACAGACATGTTTTTAGATAAAAGTCCAAACATACGAAGATGTTACTGAGCAGTTGTAATAAAAAAAACTTCCCAGTGTTTCTGGACAGAGATTTTTAGGGAGGACAAATTGAGAATTTGTGTTCCTTTATGTGTTAGAATATGTTTCTTCCTGGACTGGGGGTCTCAAGGTGTGAACCAGACTGCCATTTTGAAACAAGCAACATAGAAACAGACTGGTTGTAAAGCAGTTGAGGCAGATAGTCTGTTTACCTCCCATGATGCTTTGTGGGTCTTCAGCTTTGGCCCGGAGGATGTTTGGCCCAAAAACAGTGGCTAAATTCTGGACAGTCATCTTATTACTGCTGGAGTGACTCTGGACCTCATTCAGAAACCTGCACACATCGCCAGTTCAACCAGTCATAAAATACATATGCCTGAGGCCAACCTTTGAGTTTTTTCAGTTTAATCTAACCATTAGAATGTCAAACAAAGAGGATCTTACTGGCAGATAAAACTGAGCAGATTGAAGTTTGCCACTGGTAAATCGTGAAGAAGATTCCTCAACTCCAGTAGACCCTGGAAGAAGAAGAGGCACGTGCAAAATGGGAAAAATCCAAAACATTTAAGGAAATATGCAAAATAACAAACAAATTTGGCTTTTTTAAATTTAGTTTGATGGATAAACATGAGGACAGCACGGTGGCACAACTGGTAGAGCTGCTGCCTCTCAGCGAGCAGGTCCCCGGTTCAAATTCCGGTTCGGGAGCCTTTCTGGGTGGAGTTTGCATGTTCTCTCCGTGCATGCGTGGGTTTTCTCCGGGTGCTCCAGTTTCCTCCCACAGACCAAAAACATGCATGTTAGGCTGATTGGTAACTAAATTGTTCCCAGGTGAGAGAGAGAGAGTGAATGGTTGTTTGTCTCTATGTGTCCCTGTGATGGACTTGCGACCCGTCCAGGGTGTCCCCCGCCCCTCGCACAGTGATTGCTGGACATGGGCACCGGCGACCCCCATGACCCAAAATGGAAGAAGCAGGTAAAAGATAATGGATGGATGGATGGATGGATAAACATGATCACTAGAGAGAGAAAAGGTGGTGTTCAGATGAATTTATGGTGCGCTGTTACCAAAGTATGGTCTTTAGACAACTTCTGAGTGCAGAGTAGGAAGTCCTGGTATTGGCAGTAAGGAACCAGAGGCTCCGGCAGCTGTCTGAGGTAGAGCTTCAGCAGTGATGCCACTGTGTGGACATCTGTGCCACTGCAAGCACAAATAACAACTGAGTTTTATCTACAAATTACTCGAAGAACAATACAAGAGAAGCAGAGGGGTCGTACTTGTCAAAAGATGGCCTTTCTCCTGAATCAAAGGCTTCTTGCAGCTCTTTCACCAGACTGGTTCGTCCAGGCTGGCGAAACAAGCCCACCTCATGCAGGCCACGGTCCAGGATGAAGGTCACACACTGCTCCACCACCAGAGGAACCAGACGCATCCCATACCGACGCTCGTACAGGACGGTCTCCTCCAGACGCTGCCCAAAGACCCCTGGAGGAGAAAACAGTTTACTGAGCGCTCCCATGGAGTTTAGACCCACCGGCCTGAACTTTCTGAGGTTTGAAATCACTTTGGAGGTTTTTGTCATGTATTCATGCATCGTGGGCATGAATGTCAGAATAACTGGCAGCTTTTCATTTATTTGAACTGTATTTATTCCTGGGTGGAACGATTCTATGACATACAACTTCAATAATTTATAAAAATCAATCATCCCTCAGTGTGAGTCACCTGGACCTCAGACTGGTTGTCTCAGTCAACAAGCTTCTGACAAGCTTCTGGCTGATATTTGACCTCTCGTCTCTGCAGAATTGGCAAAGTTCATTTAAAATGGTCTCTTTCCTGGAAACGGAGCTAGCTTAAAACCAAAGTCCAAAAGTTCTCAGCAGGGTTGAGGTCAGGGCTTTGGGCAGACCACTCCAGAAGCCTAACCAGTTCTGATGAGTCTTTGGGACAATTGTCTTGTTGAACCCAACTGTGTCCAAGTTTCAACTGTCCAGTTGTTGATTTGAGTGAGGTTATTTCATTCTCTTTGTAGCACAGCATGATGCCGCCACCACCGTGCCCGGCATTTGAGTCAGTGTTCTTCGATCTGAAAACCTCTGAAAAGTTCGTCCAGATGTCTTTCTTGACGTTGTGCCATAACAGTTCGATCTTTGTCTCGCTGAACCATCAAACTTTTCTCTTGAAGCCATTTGTCTTGTTCATGTGGACAGCTGCAGGCTCGAGGCTTTGGAGCATAGTTTTTGTCTTTTCAGTTCATGGGGACATAAAACCGTCTTCACTGTGGACAGGGACTCTGAAGATCCAACAGGTTCAGGTGTGAACTGTGGCGGTTCCTGAAAATTCAAACTAATTTCCTTTAATAAATCCAGTGAGAAACCCTGTCTGCAGACGATCGGGACCACTTGGTCTTGTCAGTTCAAAGATCTTTTAGAACCTAACAAAGTTGAGTCAGGTCCTCTGGATGGGTTCTTCTTGTTGAAACGTTTCTCCTTTCATCCAAAAGACTTCTTCAGTCTGAGGAGCTGCAACAAACTCAGTCTTATAAACAGCACCTTCTCATAGTGGATCAACAAGTTTGCTGGTGACAACCAGAACTGGCTGTTCACATGATCAAGGAGGACCATCAGCCTAACAGTTGGTCGTTAGTGCCCTGATGGCCACTTGCTATTCACAGGGAGCTGAGTGATACTAACAACAACAGCATTGTAGGAAGGGAACAGTTGGACATGGAGGCTTCGCCCCTATTTAATGATGGCCTGAGTTTGACAACTGAGTTTGTTGCAGCTCCTCAGACTGAAGAAGTCCTTTGGATAAAAGACGAAACGTTTCAACAAGAAGAATCCGTCCAGACGACCTGACTTTACTTTGTTAGATGTTTCTACCTGGATTATTGAACATGCATTAGGATATATTTGAGAACCTTCACTTATTAAAATGTTTTGTATGAATTTATTTAAGACAACATGTAAAATAACTCGTTAAAAGCCCCACAGAAAGTCAACGTTCATGCCCATCATGAGCAGATGGAAACTTCTGAGTGTACGTTCAGTGTGTTTCTTTATGTTCGGGTGTAAAGACACAAAATGGATTTCAATACCCCCAGTACCAACATGAGTTTGTGTGTGTGTGTGTGTGTGTGTGTGTGTGTGTGTGTGTGTGTGTGTGT